GCCCCTCACTGACCCTCTGCAGGTGGTGAGTCCACAGGAGGACGGCTGCTCTCTGAGTGTGAGCATAGCCTTGATCTTTCAGTGGGGGCTTTGGGCAAAGTGGGGTTAAGTGTCTTGCCCAAGGACACAACGACAGCAGTCATCAGTGGGAGTCGGTGGAGAAGGTGCAGAGGTGGGAATTGAACCCACAACCTTCTGGGCTTAAGGCCAATGCTCTACCAACTGAGCTACTGTCGCTAGACTAAGTTCTAACTAAGTTAGAATGCATATCAGAAATTTCCCCACTCTGGGACAATTAAAGGATCTCTTAAAATGGGATGCGCTTTTTCTTCTTTCTGCATTTTTCAACGTTTGTGTGCTTTTGTAATCAACTTGATGACAAATCTCGGCAGACCACTATCAAAACAAAGAACATTAACTGCAATAGTTTGATACTTAGGCCCCATTTAGACAGAGACGCTGACAACAATTTGCAAAAAAATAGGTATTTAAAATGCTAAGCATCCACACAACGACAGAAAACATTGTAGTTCTAGCACTCGGCCAGAGGGGGGTAGTGACATGGGTGACCCCCACCAGTCTAACCACTTCCAACAGCAAGAAATAAACGCAGAACGATGTTGGTGCATTAAGGCCCTGTCCCAATACTCGCACTTCCACCCTCGGCCCCTCATTTGCTCGTTCCAGATGATGGGTGCAAGTGCTTAAGGTGTCCCACTGGGCTCTATGCACGCACCACTTCCGGGTCTTAGTCATAATCCCACTTGACTTCCTGTGCAAGGGGAATGGCTTGAGTTTCACTGGAGTTCAGCAGATATTTTCACGAGTTTCCTAAATAATGCTCAAACAGGAATTAAACTGTGAGGATACTGGGCATTTTTGGGACACAGCAATGCTCTTTTATTGGGCTGTCATTGTGCTTTTATAAAGTTCTCTTCTAATCTCTCCGAGTGGCCACAGTCAAAGCTATTCCTCAGAGAGAAAGCACGTCCACACTTTTGGGTCAGTCTCACAGCTGAATTTATCAATCTAATTACTAAAAAAATGTCACTACAACTCACCTAAAAGCCATGCATATAGTTTATTCTCCAGAGGTCTTTGGCCCCGCCCCCTTTTCGCCCCTGATCCACTTTGCCGTAGCCTGCATCAAAGGCCCAGTCCCAATACTCGCACTTCCACCCTCGCGCCCCTCATTTGCGCGTTCCCGATAAAGGGTGCGAGTGCGTAGGGTGTCCCAATTCTCCAGGGAGGTCTTTGGCCCCGCCCCCTTTGCGCCCCTGATCCACACTTTGCCGTAGCCTGCATCTATGCGCACTCTGGCGAAGGATATTGCCCATAATTCTTTGCGGTACACACCAAAACGTCGGGAAAATGCATTTAAATATACATTTTGAAATATATATGCAGTATGTGTCTAAATAAGTTTTGCTATGTTACTTGGAAAGAAGCATAAACGTCTGATGAAAAATTACGGACATTGTGTTTTAACAATTTAATAACTTTTTAAACCAAGCGTTTATATAACATTCAATTTAAACTTTACACTTAATACAATAATCTTAGAATGTATAAAAACTGACCAGATAGTTAGTTACCCACATTTAACATGAAGCTCTTCGCGAAAATTCACTGTGGTAGACCCGGCTGCTGCTTGCCCAGATCTACAAGCCTGCTCATCCTCGACTCATCATACCAGCAACGCCCACATCTAATCAACCAATAACCACCAAGACAGCAAGTTAAAAGCCGGAGACACCCACTTCCCAGCCTTCTGAAGTCCGCAAGCCTCCGCCGCCCCACCTCCTCCGTTTCTCATCGAAGCGTGCTTGCCTACTGCCTCTGCCGCCACCAGTGCCTAGGCCCCGGGGGGGGATTATGCGTGCGAGCAAGCGCCGCGCTCAACAGAATCTCTCCCGGGCCTAGGGCGCCAAACATGCTCAATCAACAAACTTCCAACTGCATTTTCCCTCTTGGGTCTCTCCAAAGTGAATTAAAATTATACAGCTATCTCTAATTAAAAACAACTAATATACATGTATTTTAACGTGTGTGAAGCAATTCAATTTGTTTCCCAAAGGGTCAGACAAAATTACCTTTAATTTTTATAAAGTTTAGGTCTGAAAATGACCATCTCTTGACGAGTCGATGACGTAACCTGCACTCAGTGTGCACTGTCCCAATTCCGCCTTTTGAGCACGCTTGCAACCTGCGCACTCAAACCCTTGCGCGCACTTCAAACCCTTGCGCGCACTTCAAACAAATGCACACTTCATAGGAGGGCGTAGGGTGCAGTGTGGGTATTGGGACTGGGCCTAAGTGGACTCTGGCGAAGGATATTGCCCATAATTCTTTGCGGTACACACCAAAACGTCGGGAAAATGCATTTAAGAATAATTTTTGAAATATTTATGCTGTTTGTGTGTACAGTATATACGTTTTGCAATGTTACTTGGAAAGCAGCATTACATTTGTTTCTACGGACATTCTATGCTAACAATGTCATAACTTTTTTTAATGCAAGCATTGATATAACATTCAATTTAAACTTTTCACTTAGTACAATAAACTTAGGATGAATAAAAACTGACCAGACAACAGTTAGTTACCCACATTTAACTTAACATTATACAGCTATCTCAAATTGCGAATAACCAATATACATTTATTTTGAATGTGTGTGGAGTAACTCATTAACTACTACTTTTATTTCCCACAGGATCGGACGACATGACCTTTAATTTGATAAAGTTTAGGTCTGAAAATGACCATCTCTTGACTAGTCAATGACGTAACCTGCACTCAGTGTGCACTGTCCCAATTCTGCTTTTTTTGCAAGCTTGCAACCTGCGCACTCAAACCCTTGCGTGCACTTCAAACAAATGCACACTTCGTAGAGGTGTAGGGTGCAGTGTGGGTATTGGGACTGGGCCTAACAGAAACAACGAACATGGAAACTGAAGCTGTTTTAATGTGAACATCATTTGGAGCTTTGTCACCAATTTCATGTTTAAGTCCAGATAAAAGTTGAGTTTAGATATGTAATCCTCAGTTTACAATGTAGATTATGTAATCCTCCATTTGGAAATAAGATTCAAAAAGTGAAGAACAAATACGGGTGTCCCTCTTGTTTTGCTAGCTCCATGCCGCAGCCCCGACTTTCGGGTCCGAATCGGGAGCGTCCAATTTTTTAAATCCACTTTTAATTAATCGTTTGACAGCCCTAATTATAATATATAGTTTCATAAATGCAGTGTGAAGAGAAGAGATGCATGGAGGATTAACGTCTGCGGGATCTTAAAACTACGATGATCAGAGTGGTTTGCGATGTCGACAGTTTGCTGTATGACGTCGAACTTTTGCATAATTATTTTAAAGGAGCAATATGTAATATTTGCATGTCAAGTCATCATTAAATGACCCGAATATTTCAAAAGGCATTAATAAATCATGTTCTTTTCAAACACATCTTTAACTGATAACAGTAGTTCATCCGAGATATTTGAATATCAAAATTAGTTTCACGACCCGTAAAAGTTGTTATTGTTTTCATTTTGATGTCCTACCCTCCGCCGTCTCGCCAATCAGGAAGTCTGTGATGCGGGTTGCCAGAACTCACCGCGTCGAGCTAATCTCACAGGTAGAACATGTCAGGCCGCAGGACTAGAAAACGGTCCCGTTATGATTTTGTCGACAATGACAAAACAAGGAGTAAAACGAGGATTTCAATCGGGGATGCCTTTGAAAGATGGAGATAATTGAAGGAGGAGAAAAACTTTTCGTCCCACGCTAAACTTGCTACATTCCTCATTGACAAGTGAGTAAGGCATTGACATCTTCTTCTTACTTTTAATACATGTACAATTCGTATGTAAAATGTATTGTCCAGTACAGTCTATCTTGTCTAAGAATGTATGTATGATCGCGCTTAGCAACGCGCGCATGCTAGCATGCTAGAGATAGCCCATTTCCATTTGCCTCGACAAACTGGATCAATTGAGAAATATGGCTTTTAGCCCTTATATATTACCGTGTAATCTAACTCAAAGGGTAACATATTGTGTTGTATCAGCGCCGCTTTTGTTCACATTGTGCTGATACGCTGAAGAAATATGTTCATCGGCTAGTTCAGTTCAGTATATTTCTTCTTTGGTCACCACATTTCAAATAACTATTACGTGCTGGTATACAGAAAGATACAAACACATTAATGACTGAGGGGGTTTATTCTTTGACTCCGTTACAATACTACATAATCCATGGCTACTCTCAAAATATACTGGAAGTGTATATCGCTATTATAGCAAGGTGATTAGAGACAGACAAGTAACTCGATAAAATAAATGATTCGTGTTTGCATATTGTGGTCTTCATGTACCAAGTTATATGGCAATCTGAAACAGTAGCCTATAGGCATACGTAGTTACAATGTTTACTGTTTAGTTCTGTGCGTATTCACCTGTATTCACCTGTAACTATTACTAGTGTTGTACTCTAGTTATCAGATAGTACTGACACAAACCATATGCTGGCCATTTGTTGCGATATTAAGACAAATGCTGTTCCAGTTATAGATGTGTTGTTTACAAAACTCTTCTCTATTCAGTTATTACGGTCCCAGCACCTCAACCCCGAGTAGGAGGCAGTGGAATAAGCCACACCCAGCTTCTCCATCACTGTCCAGCATTGGGTTTGCATCATCAGCAACAGCTTCCATCAGGTCAGTAGTCAGTCAGGTCAGTAGTCAGTGCCACAATTTTATTTAGAAACACTTTGCGCCTAAAACAACCACTTCATCTATACGCTCCATCTACAGAGGGGACGTGTCGGCTGTTCATACAGGGCTGGATCAAGGCACAGAAAATGTCTCAGCAGTTCTACATGAAAGGTAGATAAAGACTTCCAGCATCCTAATGTGACTATAGATGAAAATCAAACGTCTTATTAATTTATTCATGTACAATACATTATGTGACCGCTATGTTTATGTTAGTCTACAGAACATGAGCTTCCAGGATGCTGACAGCCAAGTCATTAACGAGCATGAGATTAATGACCTAATGAACACTGTGTAAGTGACAATGTCTCTGATTCAAGTAATATGTTTTATTCAAAAGAACTTTTGAAGAAACTCAATGACACTTTACAAGCAAATATTATTATATAATAAGTGCAATCCAATCTTGGGATAAGTTGCAACCATTAGTGTAAGTTTCTCCATCTCATTTCACAGCATTGATTGGGGTGACAGTGAAGGTGCTACTGGTGAGGATGTGCTAGGCCTCGGAGCTGTGATAGTGAAGATGAGGACTACACCCCGCATATTTCCATTTGGTACGTTACATTACATTCTAATTGCCACTGCTTCATAGTTGAATTAATCAGAATCAGAATCAGAATCATTTTTATTGCCAACGTAAGTAACAGGAGGTCACAGACTTGGAAATTGCTTTGGCTCAGTGCAACAGTCAAAAAGAGATAATAAAAATAAGAATAAAAAACACTTCTAAAGAATAAATTTAAAATAGAGTTACAGTTACTATTTACAATATACAAGTGCACATGGTGCACACAATGTAAGGTGACAGCAGTACAGTGAAGTAAAGTGACGTATGATGGACAGTAAAGTGACTTTATAAAGGGCGGGGGGACAGGTTAAGAAGTGTTCAAGAGTCCAACAGCAGAGGGGAAGAAACTGTTCTTGTGGCGGGAGGTTCTAGTCCTGATGGACCGCAGTCTCCTGCCTGAGGGGAGTGGTTGGAATAGTCCATGTGCAGGGTGAGAGGGGTCGGCTGTGATACGACCAGCCCGGCCTCGAGCTCGGGCGACGTACAGGTCCTGCAGCGATGGAAGGCTGCGGCCGATCACTTCCTCTGCAGAGCGCACAATGCGCTGTAGTCTCTAATTAAAATACTCTTATGGACACATTGATTACAAATTGGAAAAACATGAAATAAGAAAGGGGTTCTTATGCCCAGTTCTCCTTGGTCATGAGAAATGTCCTCCAATACAACTTCATCTCTGCAGGCCTCCTCCTGCCTCTCAGCAAGAAGATTCTGGGTTCAAATCCCGGTCGGAACAGGGCCTTTCTGAGTGGAGTTTGCGTGGTCTCTCTGTGTCTGCGTAGGTTTCCTCCGGGTACTCCGGTTTCCCCTACCACTAAAAACATGTGCAATAGTTCAGGGTGAATGAATGTGTGTTTGTGAGTGCGAATGTGGGACAACAGATGCAAATCAGCCCATGGCTACAATCCGGAGTGATGTGTTCATTAACATGTACTGTCCCAACCAAATAAACAATAAATAATTAAAATAAATAATCTATAATAATAAAATACTTATTATATGTGTCTTTAGGATGGGTGGAGCATCGCAGGCACCACCATGTCTAGACACACATGTCTAGACGCACAACCATAGAGGCCAGTGAGACTGTTCACGACGTCCCAGATGAAGAACCTCCATCAGACGACGGACCTTCACTTCACAATCCAGACTTTCCTGACAAACTGAACGTCATTAATGAGGATGACCTCATAGGCAAACATGCCTCCATCATTTATGATGACAGTTTGAAACAGCTGGCAACATTCCTGGTGCTTCCAGTGAAACACTGCCCTTACACAGGTGGTTTGCAGAACCCGGTGGAGTGTCAATAGACCTCCATTTGAAGTAAGCATTTCAATTTGGAGAGACGAGAAACAGGGAGTTGAGTATTTTATCAAAGGAGGTTTGGCGCCCTAGGTCCCGGTGCGGCCTTCGGATCGGAAAGGCTCCTGCGATGAGCGCGCACAATCCCCCGGGACCTAGGCACTGGTGGCGGCATTTGGCAGCGGGAAGAAAATTGAAGGCAGATTGGAGGCAGGGTGAAGAGGAGGAGGAGGGGAGGCGGTGGTTGCGAGGCTTCAGGGGGCCGGTAGTGGGAGTTGCTCCGTTTTTATGCGGCTGCGAGTCGGTACAGATGATTGGAAGGGGGCGTCTGCTGAGCGATAGGCTGGGGATGACAGCCGGCCTGGAGGGGGTAATTTTGGTTAACGTCTACCAAATTGAATTTTCGCGGGCTGCATTTCAATTTGGAGAGACGAGAAACAGGGAGTTGAGTATTTTATCAAAGGAGGTTTGGCGCCCTAGGTCCCGGTGCGGCCTTCGGATCGGAAAGGCTCCTGCGATGAGCGCGCACAATCCCCAAAAAGACTGCGTGTTGATGGAGTTTTCGAAGCCTGGTTTGGAGGGGACAGACGTCGTGACTACTCTATTCTGTGACCGCTATCGCTAAGCTGTGACCGCTATCGCTATGCTGTGACCGCTATCGCTATATGCTGTGACCGCTATCGCTATATGCTGTGACCGCTATCTACTGTGATCAATACTTGCGGATACTCGGCTGCTGCGGCGCCTATCCGGAAGGAGTGAGCTGCGTAGAGATGGGGAGACAGGTTACAAAGCAGCAGTACGGACTTTAGTTGGGCTCTGAACCCGTTGGATGACATTGGGAGGTGATCGGGGGTGAGAAATAACGGTCCGTTGAGATCTCCTTTCCGAGAGCGGAGGCGAGGGTAATGCATCGTGGGTTATTTTTTGCGCGCTGGGAACGTGAGCGTTCGCATCACGTTCCGTCAGACGCTGCGGCAGCGGAGAGTGTTTGAGAAGTGCGTGCCGCCACCAGAATCTTATTGCTTCACTTACTTTGCTTCGTATTGCTTTGCTGGGAGCATGCGAGGAAGCCAGTAGGCGTTGTGCAGCCAGGATGGCGGACGCGTCTGGGCTGATGTAGGCGGAGAAGCCGAAGAGGACCAGCACCCCAGCTGTTGGAGAGGTGGGGGAGCCCCAGCGAGGCCGCGCGCGTGGCAGCGCCTATCCTGAAGGAGTGGGCTGTATAGAGCTGGGGAGACAAATTGCAGAGGAGCAGTAGGGATCTTAGTTGAGCTCTGAACCAGGTTGCTGTCGTGGGAAGGTTGTCTGGAGAGAGATGTGTCGGAGCGAGCTATTATTATGTTGCAGGCGCCTTGGTCTTTGAATGTTTGAGATGAAGGTTGAAAGGGTCAGGGGACGTTATGTTGGGTGAAAAAGAGCGACCTTTGTGTGATGCTTCCACTACGTCGAGATTATCGCGCATGACAGAGATCCTCTTTCTCTGCCACGTGTGATTCCACGGCGCGCAGGCCACGACCACTGGGAATATCTCGTGTAGGGCAGAGGAGATGCTCCGGTGGAAGTAGCGGCCACGGCCCGGCAACCCAATGGTCCTGGAAGAATCCCCCAAAACCCACGGAAGGGGCACGTCCGTGTAGAAGCGGAGACCTGTAGGGGCAGAGACATATCGGAGAGGGCCATTGATGTTGCAGGCGCCCTTACGCTTAGAATCTTGGGTCGGAGAGTAGATAATCAGGATAGTAGGATGGTCGGGAAGCCGCGTCTCGGACCGCATGAAGGTTGAGCGAGCAGTAGTGAACGCTTATGCAGAGAAGTCATAGAAGGCGAGCAGGACGATGCTGCGAGGAGGGCAGACATGTACTTGGAAGACGAGCCAGAGTTCAGTGCCGCTCAGAGCCGCTGCAGGATGGGCAGCACGATGGGGGAGCCTGCGATCAGAAGAGTGAAGAATACAGGTATGGATGCCTTTGATTAGGAGTCCGATTGACGGCTCAGCGCAGCTACTCAGCCAGCTGCATCTGATAGAATCAGAAGATTAAGTAGAGAGATGAAGCATGACCGCCGAAGCAACCCTGGGAGCATAGGTACGAGGCCAGCGCGGCGCGGCATACTCAGCCGGGCAGCATCCATTAGAAACAGGATAAGCTTCTGAGCGAGTGGGTTGCAGCAGTAGCGGCAGCAGCAGCAGCAGCAGCAGCAGTAGCAGCATCCTTAGAGATTACAGTAATAATCCTGTATCAAGCCACGCAGTAGAATGTTGTCGTAGCTGATCAGTGTTTCAGTAAAAGAGATGCAAGTGAAGAGAGATGGCAAGTAAATGAAGCAGCAGTAGTAGCGCAGTAGCAGTATGGAGCAGCAGCAGCAGTAGTAGCCGTATGAAGCAGCAGCAGCAGTAGCAGCAGCAGCAGCTGCAGCGTCCGTAGATAATAACAGCAATGATCCTGTATCAAAGCCACGGCAGTAGAATGTTGTTGTAGCTGTTCAGTGTGAGGGATTTCAACAGGTTTTTACGGTCCAAATGATTTAACATTTTTACGGTCCAAGTGAGGGATTAACTGAGCCCGCAGCCCAAGTGAGGAGTTTAAACTATTTTTTTTTTTTTTTTATTTATTTATATTTATTTATATTTATTTATAATTATTTATATTTATTTATTTATATTTATTTATTCATTTATTCATTTTTAATATATAGCGTTCCAGATATAGGCAGTACCATATATGCAGTTCCATGTACTGCATAACAGTTCCAGGTATAACCGTACCATATGAGCAGTTCCAATATAGCGGTTCCATATATAGGCAGTTCCATATGAAGCAGTTCCAGATACGGTACAACAGTTCCAGATATAAGTAGTTCCAGATATAAGCATTTCCAGCTATAACATTTCCAGCTATAAGCATTTCCAGATATAAGCATTTCCAGATATAAGCATTTCCAGATATAAGCAGTTCCGTGAGGGATTAACCTGAGAGCTCACAGACCAATGTAAGGGATTCATTTCGGGAGAAATGAAAGTGAGGGATTAAAACTGAGAGCATGCGGTCCAATGAGAGGGATTAAAACTGAGGTCTTGCATTCCAATGTGAGGGATAAAACGGAGCTTGCAGTCAGAGTGAAGATTTAACGGAGCTTGGTTAAAGAGAGCCTGCAGACCAATGCGAGGGCTTTAAACTGAAGCCTGCCCACCAGCACGGGGCCAACTGAGCCTGCAGTACAATGCGAAGGGAATAAACCGTCCGCGGATCTCATACTTTACCCACAGCGCCAGAAGACAAGGGACAACACGACGGGACCACACCGTACCGGCACAAGGAGGCAGGGATGCGCACGGCTCCCACCGCACCGGGCTAGACCGGCCGTATGCAGCAGCAGGTCGCGACGAGACGAGCAGCGGCAAACCCGCGGAAAGAGCCCGCAAAGGAGGAGAGCGGCAAAGACCCACGGACCACAGCACGAGACCCGCAGCAGGTGCAGCCACAGGAGGAGCAGACCACACGCAGCAAGACAGAGGACAGCAGGGACACGCACGAGTAGCGTGAGTAGACGAAAGCGATTCCTCCAGAACGATTCTTTGCGAGGCTGCAGGAGCTTGCAAGGCTTCAGGGGGCCGGTAGTGGGAGTTGCTCCGTTTTTATGCGGCTGCGAGTCGGTACAGATGATTGGAAGGGGGCGTCTGCTGAGCGATAGGCTGGGGATGACAGCCGGCCTGGAGGGGGTAATTTTGGTTAACGTCTACCAAATTGAATTTTCGCGGGCTGCATTATCCACCGGGGTACTGCAAGCATCATGGAATGGGTAAGTTTTGGCGTCTCAGTAAATAAAACAAAATTGAAGAGTTGTGTTGAAGGCACTTCTAATATGTTGTCAATACTGTTTTGAAACTTTATCAAGCATCCAGTCTTAGATTTTGACTAATTTGTGTCCCATTTCTTCTCAGACATGCCCTGTTGGTCATATAGTGTGGAGATGGAGTTCACAGCCCTATGTGAAATATGGAATGCTGGCAGGGGACTTCATGTTGGCTACTAACATCCTGCTCTCTGGAAGCAACTTTGCAAAAGTGTCACTCTTGTTCAAATTTATGAACATGGGTATAGTCGATCGAAGTTCCTTTTTCACAATACAGGACACATACCTTGTGGACACTGTGAAAGAGTTTTGGGAGGAGAGGAGGGCTGAGGCCATTCAGCGTCTTAAAGACAAAGATGTTGTCATCATAGGTAAGTTACATGTTCTCTTCATTCATTACAGAGTAGTATATATATTTGTCACTAAAAGATTTTATTAAAAAGCTATTTAAAGATACAGTATAGGTAAAGCACATATAATATATAATACATAATATTTAATACTTTTGTTTGTTTGTTTATTCATACATTAAACAGCGGACGGAAGAATGGACAGTCCCGGACATTGCGCCCAATACTGCACTTACACAGCACTGGAAAATGACTCTCGAGAAATCATCTCTGTCATCACTGTTGACAAAAGGGAGACTGGACGGAATTCTGTCACAATGGAGAGAGAAGCATTCGTAAGGACAGTTGACACTCTTGTGAAAGAGGTGAAACTGGTGGAGGTCTGCACTGATGCTCATGTCCAGATATCTGCATTAATGAGTAAGCTGGCTTTGCCATTGTGTATTAACAGCACATTTACTGCTACTTTATCAACAGTGTAGGGTGGTGCACAAGTTATTCTTGTTTTTCTCTTAGACAAAGGGAAATACAAAGACCTAGGACTGAAGCACAGTTTGGACATGTGGCATGGGGCAAAAAATCTTGCTAAAAGGATCCATGCTGTAAGTGCATTTGCAATTTGTATGACTTGTTTTGCTTCACTCAAACACAAAATTGGAGGAATTTTACTATGTATACCATTGTGTATGTCCAAGGCTGCACAGGTCAGAGGTCAGTCCAGTTTGAGTGGCTGGCTGAAAGATATAGTCAACCACTTTTGGTGGTGCTGCAAAACGGCAGATTCCTACCTGCGGTTCCTTGTAAGTTGTTATAGTTTATTATAAATGTATCAAAACATTGTAACTTCGAAAACTAACAGGACTTATGTACAATGTGCATGCACATTTTTTGTAGGAGCTGTGGCTTGGGCTCCTATATCATGTCACAAATGAGCACCAATGGGTGCAGGGAGGCTGTCAGCATGCAGACCTAGAATCAAATGGCACACAGAATTGGCTTGACCGAGGATCCCCAGTACATGAGGCCCTGAAGAGCATAATTATGAATAAGAGATGGCTCAACGAGGTCCACAAATACCTAAACTTTAGGTATTTGGATTATGTAAATATACCATGCTTTACAGTCGTTTGAAATTTCCCTCTTCCTTCTGATATTCTATTCTAGGTACAGGAGACTCTACAAGAAAAAAGTTTGCAGGTATATGCTTTATACCCAGAAGACACCCAAAACGTATGGCTACATCCCAGATCTGCAAACCATCATTCTTCGGAGGAGATTGGGTGGTCCTGGGATGCCCAGACATCGAATATCTCGACCGGATGACCCCAGGAGATATGGGCTGCTTCCCCCTGTGCCACCACCAACCATTGAGGAACTCATGCGTACCCAAGTCAGAAGGGGTTTTAGTAGGTAGAATGCCAAAAACTGAACGCATCAAAATTGATCCTTAGGGTACTTTACTTATCTGCACTGGAGTGTTCAAACAATCACAATCACTCTCTCCCACACACTTATTTCCTTGCACACTCTCAGGCCCGTGCCCTCCTCACAACACTTCTCCCACACACACCCTTTGCCCTAGTATGACATATGTAAATCATCCAGGTAAACAGGTAATGCCAATCACCTATCATCATATAATTCCTCCGCTGTACTAACCACACATTACGCATACATCCACACATTACGCATACATTATCAAAAACTCACACTGCTACCAAAGAGCATCTGTTTGCAACTAACTTCACTGTCTTTTATGTTTCCTCAGGTCCAGCCTTTCAGACTGAACACACATGAAGCCCACTTTCAAGAGACATCCAAAACTCGACTGTTCTGCTTGCAATTGGACAGTGTCACAACCTGGTTATGTTACCAGACTGCACTGTGTTATTATGAGTAGAACCTTTTTGTTTGCTTGTATGTCTAAATAAATGTTTATTGACACAATGAGGAACGCTTTACAGAATCCAAATACATTTTTATTTATATTCATACATATGTATATATACATATCAAACACTGGGTATAAATCCTGTGTAATTCCCCTGGGGATCAGGGTATTTCTCCCTTATGCGCCAAACACAGCAGCTGGGAATAACTCGTCGGTTACCTTGACCCAGTGCTCCATGCTGCCAAAAGATAAACTGACGATAGGCAGCATACCTAAATTGTCTGTTTTCATCCCCTGGCTCTCTCATTTCACCAACTACCAACACATCATTTCTATAGTCTATGTGGAGACGCAAATAACCGTCTTCCAAACAATAGAGCTCAAAATGTGCCAATTTGCTTATGCAGTGCACTGGCCCCTGCCGACAGCATTTCCTTTCGGCGTCTGTGGCCATTTCCTTACAGTTTCTACAAGTGCACCAAGGAAGAGCACCAGCAGGTGGAAGAGAGGGTGTGCCCTCCAGAGTTTGTAGTGCATCAAACAGTACTCCTGGGTTTCTGGAAAAGAGCTGGGATGCCAGGTGTCTCAGGCTCACCTCACTCATTTGTTGAATGATTCCCTAAGAAAACAAAACACAGAAGATGTTTTAGCTTTTACCTTGAGTAAATTATAAGGAATGACAATATATTCAACATCTTCTTACAATAAGTTATGTTGTTGCAATCTATTGTTCTGCAGTCCAGTAACTGTATTTGAAAAATACAAACCTCTGTTTGCACTCTTCGCTCATTTCGGAGTACTTGAATCCTTTCCTCTTCTGCGTCTCTCCCTCGGCTCCCTCTCCTTCCTCTGCGACCACGTCCAGCACCTCTTTGGCCTCTGCCGCCAGTAGGAGGACCTGCTGGCTGTCCTCCTCGTCCACCCCTTTGGCCTCGTCCACCTCTCGCTCCTCTCCTGCTTGGTCTGCGGCTTCTCTCATCTTGCCAACTGTCATCGGACTCACTTGGGACAGCAGGACTTGCATCACTCTAAAAATATATTATTTTGGTTCCTGATTAATGTATATAATATAGTACACTGCATATAAACTGTATATCATTCTTTGGGTATTGGCATGCTAGTATATTATTTGCAACATTTTTACGTAACGTAAGTGGTCTCATACAATCGCATTCGGTGAACTGGGAGATGGTGATTAGCGTAAATGTCATCGAATGCAGTGCGCAAGGTTGGATGCTACATGGAGTTGCCGAGAGAATAGTGGCTGTAATTGAACAGTTGGACGTGTCTTGTAATATAAGTATGCCTAGGTCATTACAATAAACAGGCAGTTCGCCCGAAGGCACCATTCAAAGCTGGAAAGGAAGGGTAGTCTGATTGCGCATCTGGCTACATGCATACATTATTTCGTAGGTGTTATCACGGTTATGCCAAAGATCTGTCCCAACTATAATGCAATGTTGCTGAACTGTACAATTATATTTTGATAAACCAAATGTGTACAATGTGGCATAACAACACAGAAACATACACCGTAGGACTCGTCGCTTGCCATCTGAAGTAGTGGTGGTTTTTTCCTTTATTATTATTATTTTTTTGTTATGTTTTTTACGTTGTTCATACAACATAGACCATCCTCTTTTCGTCAGTGTCCTAAAGCTTACTTCAAATTCAGATTAAGATTGATTTATTCAGACATATTTCACATACATTACATGAAAATACTAAATGTTTACACATTATGCCTGAAATGGAATAGACAGAGGCCAAAGCTGATGGGCCTATTTACAACTAGTGTCACGTTTCTGTTATATTCGTTCGTGGCACCAACAACAAGTCAGAGGCGCCCGTGTGGGAGTGTATTCCATCTGAATCTGGCAACCTGTGTCAGGGAGGGTGGGAGAGGACTACAGAATTTTGACCGTGATTGCAGTACCACTTTTGGCCAGATTTTTACATATTGCTCCTTTAAAGATTGTTGTTTCGGGTCGTTCTTTTAAATGGTTCCTTCTTTAATCTTGTGAGGGAACGGTGAAAGCAACTATAAGTAGCTTTAGAAATTAAAACTGAAATATTTTTTTTCCTTTATCAACCATTGTATTTCAAGATGGCAAATCGACACGGAGAGCACTCTCCCCTTACGGACATTTATAAGGTGAATTCTAAGCCTATGAAAACAATTACAATATGGAACAACTGTCAAAATTGCACAGGGTGGCTTTAAGGCCACACTCCACACCTGTTAAGGGCTGTATGCCTGTGTGTGGCTGGTATGCCATATCGTCCACATGGTATCTGTCATTGTCACAAGGGGTGGCAATGACTAAAAGACATAGCACCTTACAGCTTTTATTTGGTTTGTCTCATTTTTGTTGTCACTTTGAGGTTATTTTTTTTGTGACACTTTGCTTTTGTTGAGACAGCAGTCAGTTAAGGGTTTAGTTTCTGTGTATAAATGTAAGGGTTTAGTCTAGGTTTTGTTTGGTAACGTTGAGTTACCCCTTCATGTTCTGTATTTTGTCCTTTTGATTTGTCAACTTATCATTTACATTCCTGTAATTAAAATACTTGCTTTACCATTTTAACATCTTATTTTTTTGGATACCTCCCTAATCCTAGCAGAGCTGGGTCATAACAATAACGAAAGGAAAGGGCACATTATCTGCCCTCCTATGGTGACAGATTAGCAACTCTTTCTTTTTGCCGCCAACCAATTGTCAGCACTGTCGAAGACACTTTTTTGCAGAGACAAAACAGAGGATGAAATTATGATCTGAAACAACCTCCGTTAAATCTAGCCAATCTACCAAGCAAAAAGAACAATGGATCACCTGGAACTTCAGACCAATCTTCATAGAAGAAAAATTGAAATAGGCATAATTTAAGAAACATAGCCATCCTATCAACAGTGAGGACCTGAAATATAGGTGGTACATGGGATATGTCTGGACACATAGAACAACAAATGTGGAGAATATTCTTAAATTGGGAAAACAATTTTCCCCTTTACAATTATGATTTCAAAAAGAAACCCAAGTCGTTGGCAAAATGTAATATACAAAATAAACTGCTTCGCATGTACATCTGTTCAAAAAAACAAATCATAGATCAGTCGTCACTTGAAGAGGATGAAAATTATTCTTTTACTAAAGATTTATGTGTGGACAAGCCAATTCACAATCCTCTGAGCCAAAGTCTCACTCTGACAGTGAACAGGTGGGTAGCTTTAGGTAGGATTTATCAGAAAACAATGAAACAGAGTAACTTTCCTCTCTTCAAATTGGATCCAGAAGGTCCTCAGGCTGCCAAAAAGACTGAGAACTGTAGCCTTGGCCGGAGTGGGACAATTTTTTGGCTAGGAAAATTCTGGGTCGGACCTTCTGATAAAGTAGGCTATCAAAAAAACTGGACTGCCTGATGTTGTAATATCCATAACAACCGGCGGGTGGCAAGACAAGAAAATACAAAACTGCACACTTTTTAAATCAAACCAATCCAAACTAACCAATAGCAAAAATGAATGAATAATGCTATTGCCATTGCCAAATTAGGTCCAACAAAGACTCAACCTGGCCAAATCCACACACTTAATGGAGGACTTAAACAGAAAAAAACCCAAAGAAATGTACAAGATAGCTTGATAGAATGAGAACAAGAGTATAGAATTGAATCAAAACTAAAATTTAAGACTTCAAGATCAGGACCTAGACAAGCAAGACAAAAGGCAAGCTCTGAGTTAACTGAGAAAATTACTCCTACGGGAATAATATGAACTCAAAGACCAAGACTGTTTGAAACCAAAACAAATTCAATACTACCCCGGTCAAACAAAAAAGTCTAGGACTAGGAAGAAATACATAATGAAGCACATTAAAACATGAGTAAACTAAAAGAATATTCAACTATAACTTTCCCAATGTACAACGAAGTTAAACATGTTATAGTTATGCAATAAATTATTAAATTAATTAATGTTCATAAAAAGGCTTAGTCAATTTTGATTAAAAATACAATTCTAGAGCAGCTCAAACGGGCTCAAGAAGAACTCAAGGTTCGAGGTGAACAGATCCTGACGCTGCAGAAGGCCAAGGATCAGATCCTAACTGAGGTCAAAGATCAGTTAGAAGTCACCGCGACCAGAATGAGGCGGTTGATGGGTTTGGCGCGAGTGCGTGAGGCGCAGTGGAAGGAAGCCAACAGAAGCCTCGAAGAAGAGCTCAGACAGACGCAGATCCAGTTAGCAGAGAAAGATCGTCAGCTCAGGACTCTGATGGAGGTTAACGAGTCCATGACCCTCGAGGTTAGAATTATAGAAGACGATCTGACTCGCCTTAGGGAGATCCTTCAGTTTATGAAGGACCTTGTCCAGTTAGAGACAGACACCGAGGTGAAGACCGAGGTGGAGGCCGAGGTGAAGGTTGAGGCTAAGGTGGAGGCTGAGGTGGAAACCAAGGTGAATACCAAGGATACCAAGGAGCGAGAGGCGCAGTGGACAACAAGGTGGGCAACACAAACACCTGCAGATGTTGCTTTGCTGATTCTGCACAAAATGGCCTCCAACGAGTCTGGGTCTTAGTCCAGACCGCGCTTGAGATCAGGAAGGTCCGGTGGGTTCAGAAGGCGGTGTGGCTGAGGTCTCAGTCTGACAGAGCAGGACCAGACTCCTCATAGCTCCAGGTCCAGGCTCGACCTGAAGACCTGATGAAATGAGTGTAGTCTGCAGTGTTCCTGTTTAGTTGGAAGGAAAACCTCTGTAGAACCAGTTGGTCTTCCTGGTGTAGATCATTCAGGGCAAAGCGACCACCTCAGTTAGCTCGTTTGAGTTTGGCGGATTGGTTCTTGCGTGTGAGCTGTAAGAATGTTCCAATCTGTGTCGTTAGGGTTAGGGTTAGGACAATTAGGTTTAAAACAGTGTCATAGACTCAGTAAGAAACTATAAGGCTGTTTTTGGCTTTAGACTCTACAACAATGGACTGACTAATGCATTTGTGGAAAACTTCTCTGGACTTTGCCTCCAGTAATAAGTAAGAAACAATACAAGTTTTTCACACAAATTTAACTCTACAATGTGTTTTTACTTTTCCACAAAGTTTCTCTCTGTCAGGTCTCTCTCTGGTCTTTAACTTTGGTCTCTCTCTCTGATCTTTCTCTCTGGTCTTTCTCTGATCGCTCTCTCAGGTCACTCGCTGGTCTCTCCCATGAATCTCATCACTATCAAATAATGATCTGGGAAAACCACATGACATATAAAATCCAATGTATTTGTGCATTACCTAAAACCACAACAGCTGACGCCTCAGAGGATTTTACAACAGATTTGAAAATTATTTTTTTATGCATACCATGAAATCCCTTTTTTTTTTTTTTGATAACGTGTATAACATATTTATTTCACATTTAGGTAACACTTTAGATTATCCCAAACCCACATGGGGAAGTTAGTAGTTAGCTAAATATAGAATGAGATGTAGAATAAGGACTAATAAGTGCTTAATAAATACCAATTAAGAGCTAATAAACCATAAAATATACAATGATTAGCATTTAATTAGCTGTGAGGGATGATCCAAAGTGTTACCCGTGTTTACTTTATCAAGCATTGTCCAAGAGCATGGAACAATAACATGTTGGAGAAGCCTTGTCTTGTGTGTGTTAGATGAGAGAGAGAGCGTAGGGGAGACAAGAGAGAGATTGGGGGAGACAGCCGCGGGAGAGTCGTGGTGCGTGCTTCACCTGGAGGCACGCGTCTGGGCAGACTGCTCAAAGCGGCACGAGGATTTGTAGTTTTTACTAGTTCCACGGGTATTTACAATGTTAGTGTGTGTTCATGTCCTAGTGATCAATACATGTCTGTCAATTAGAAAAATAAAAATATTGTATGAAAATTCTAAAATCCACAATTTCTAACGCCATATGACGTCATAATATGCAAATTAGACAGGTGGATTTATTCTATACATAAACTTTGTGCCATCCTTAAAGGCGCTATACCCATTTCTGCAAGGTTTAAACGTTTAGCAACGCCCCCCAACTCGCTCAATGGCTTCTCATTTCCCCTGCGCTCTCATAACACAGAGCCATCTAGCTCAATTTGCGATCTGACATGTATGCTAACATTAGCATTAGCACAACTTCTTGTAAGCTGTACAACAATCACTGATGAAATGGTACTAAAGCAACGCACTGCTAACACAATATATAAGTAAAAGAATACTGCTAGTTTCGCATCCAAATTCATTCATTAAAACATTAGAATATATTTGAATATTTAATATATATATAATTTATTATACAGCTCCTCACAGCAGCAGTAGAACACTCCATTGACTTGAATGTAATTCTACCTATCATTTTTTCTTGATAACAGAACTCTCAAATCAATAATGACCGCAGCCCCAATGCAATCTCTGTTTGTAATTCAGGTGTGTAAAATACTGCCATTACTCCGCAAGTACAAGGAGAGAAGCTAGCTGAGCTAGCCACGCTCAATAAACAACCACATATTTAACACTGTTAAATGTTAATCAGACAATACAGTATACATATACATCCTTAACACACATGCACAGACTTTTTCAGAATTTCTTGTTATCGTTTTCATAACCAAATTACTATTCTAATGTGACAAAAAGCGATTGCGAAAAACCCGGAAGTAACCATTGACATGTAGTTCCAGGGAGCTAGCTAGCTTAGCTCTTACCTGCCTAGCACGTCCCGGTGGAACCTTTGGGAGCTCACTATTTTATTTGCAGTTATTGAAAACATTTCGAATTGTAAGGGCTGTCTAATATGTGTTCGAATATATATATATATATATATATATATATATATATATATATATATATATATATATATTTTTTTTTTTTTTGAATTATATTCAAATTTTGAAGCCGAAGCCCTAGTTTTTAGCAGCGCTGTAGAGGCTAGAGGACGCAGGCTGGTCGCTGCTCGTTCTGTGAGTGGAGGAGAACGAAGGTCCCGCTCAGACTCTACTCAGCACTTTCCACTGCTTGTAATTATTACACAGCTGAATCAATTACCTCAAGTTTTCAATTAAATTACGGCTTATAATACAACTTGTATGTAGTAATAAGCATTTTTATGAACTAATTAGAAAAAAAATAGGGTATAGCTTCTTTCATATTTTTCTAATTTACAGAAAGCCTTTATCACCTATAAGTCATAGCCTTATGAAATTAAGATATCAAAATCGGGCGTTTTAGAAAAAAACCTCTGGCGCTTAAAGGGGAAATACATTCAGCGGTGGCTCTCATTCATGAACTGAATGAAGCGTCTGCAGCATCTTGTGAATGCAATGGTGCGATCTCTGTATGAGAGCTTTTGTGAAGTTGTGGTCCAGGATTTCACAGAGTAACTCTGGATCCAATATTCTGAATGACGAGCGCTACATTTGAGGATTTATGCGGCGTGACCTTTCATGGCACCCGCTGCGCACTGCCCAAGAGATAAGCACGTTGCCATCCTGTCTATAAACTGCTACACGTGGACAGGGCAGTGAGACATTTGGAGTGAGCAATGCCACGGTGCGTTTATGGGGTGTCTGTGTGAGGCTTACACAATTCTAATGAAAAAATACATAGGAAAAACAGATAGCTGTGCGTAATTACGCATCGTATGGCCTGCCACGGATTTACAATCAATATATGGGTCACACATCCCTGTTGCGTAAGTTAGTGAGTAAGTAAAGTGTATTTGTATAGAACCTTTCACAGTCCAGGATCACAAAGCGCTTCACATTTTAAAATCCTACAGATCAAATTAATACACACATAAGTCAGATTTAAAAACAAAGAAACAGAAGACAAAACATGATGCGCAATGAAAATGCAGCGTGAATATGGTAATTGCTGTCCATTTCTTGAATATCATGCATGTTTTGGCGCGTTGTGATGAAGGTTGAGATGAGCGTATACATTTACACCACCTCCTGACCTGGCATATATTTTGTGCGTACCGTATGCCCACATTCAGATAAATAAATGCCAATAAATCAACATTTTCTGCGTACGCCTCATTTACGACCTGATTTGGTCATACGCAAGTTTCATAAATGAGTTTGTTTTCTGATTGTCTCTCGATGCGACACAAACGTCTTTCTATGCGTGACGTATCTGTAACAATGACTATGTAAACCTTGTCCTGACTTTGTTCTGTCTGAAAAAACTTAAAGTAGTACTAGAATTTATTATGCTGCTATCCAGAATATATAACTACAATATGTGTTTATAATATTTTGGGTGTTCATTTTGACATGTTCAGATGAATTATGTAAAAAAAACTGCTTTGAAGTGGCACCTTTTCACTTCCGCATAGAAACGCTAGGGGGCACCAAAATGGCGGCGATGACGTAGGAGAATGACCTCTCACAGGAACAGACAGCAGTCTGGGCTGAATCTGTAGGAGGTTTCACTGTCATCTGAACAAGGTATAAACATATTTTCATCCGTTTTGTACATAATAGTGTGCAACTCTTTTAACCTTTTAGCCTTATTTGTGAGATTCAAGCTAATTAGTGTTGGGCAAGTTAGCTAACTCTACTTGATATCATAAAACATGCTAACAAGGCTAATATTCGTTTTTACATTATGCCAGTCTCACTTTGGTTGCCTTCGATTTATTTACCACAATGTACATTGTAATATCCATAAATGCTAACACCTTGGTTTAATTAGCATTTTTATCAATGATTGCATCACATGTAGTCTATTTTTTCAACTTCTGCAGCTTTTTGTTAATAAAATTAAAATATTTATTTAATTCAAGTTATTTTGATTAGCATTTATGGATATTACAAAGTACATTGTGGTAAATAAATCTAAAGGCGCGTTCAGACCAAAAGCTTCCAAAAACTTTTGACGCGCGTCAGCTGACGGCGGGTTATTTTTGTCATTTTGGTGCTTGAAGCTTTTGACGCGACTGACGCTCCTGACGCCGGTGGGAGGAGCTTCTCTGTTGCCGGTGTAGTCCAGAGAAGATGGCGGATTTCCGAAGAGCAGCTTGCCTTTATTTGTTGGTAAAATCCATACAACGCCGTCGTAGGGCTTCTACACAACGTGTATGGGTTCACAGTATACTTCAGAGGCGTGCAGTGTTTGGTGAGTTTCACCATTTACTCCAGGAGCTGCGTATGGACGAGGCTCGCTTTCAGCGGTACTTCCGAATTTCAGTAGCCCAGTTTGATGACCTGCTCACCCGCATCGGAGCTCGCATCGCCCGCATGGACACCAACTACAGGCGCTCGATTCCCGCGGAAGAGCGCCTGTCTATCTCTCTGAGGTTAGTGAGAATTTTCTGATAAAATATCTACAAATACAATAGGAAATAGCGTCCCTAGCATGGATCACGGCCCGAGAGATAGGAGCAGCCAAAAGCAGTAAACGTTGAATATACGTTTTAATTAGGACATAAAAGTTAATTGTAATAACATTTCAGGCGGGAAATATACCCCACTAATGTCATATCAGAGGTCTGTTTGGTGATTAAATAGATATTTGAATTTTTGTCTGACTTTTTCCCTCCAGCGCGGAGCTCCAATGCTAACCAGCTAACCACGGG